TGTCTTAAAACACAAACGGCGTGTCGGAATGTGAAGCGGGTAAGAGCGGCATTAAGCACTTAACCTGAATGACATTCTTCTGAGCGAACGAGGTCAGTTTTCGCAAACTGTTGGCGGCAGTTTCTGATGATGTAAATAGACAATGGCCTAGTAGCATAAGGTGGCTCTATGAGAGTTCATAAACCGTGTGAGCAGCATTGCTTGAGTCTGCATGATGCCCGTAAATAAAGTGGGTGAGAATGGCAACTTTTATGCTCATGGTACCGCCATTTGTCAGCCATGCCGAGAGGCGCTCTCGTGATGGCTCGCGCGACCAATATAATATGCTACACGGGAGCAAGTGACTGAGTAGACACACACTGAGATGGTTTAAGATTCCATGCAATTTGGGTTCTCTACTGGATTGGACGTTTGGGTGAAAGTCAAGCTCGCAGGGCTGGATAAGCAAGAAATGATTGGATGGATTGCAGCTTCCCACAGCCTGTTATTATTGTTGAGACCGAGTGGCAACTACTGGTTCGCCAAACGTGGATCTGCCTATTCCGCAGCTAACCCTCACTGAAGGTTGCCCCACTGTCAGTCATACACGAACGTTCTGGAGAGGCAACGACCAGGCGCAGTATTGTCAGGACACCTGCCTTCTAACTTTGCAGCTTGCGTGGATCAACATTCTTCGACTAGGAGTAATAAGAAATTGCAGACCTTTTGAGAATGCGGATGCCTGCGGACGTGTACTTCATATATCCGAAGAGACATTCTTTCTCCCATTACTTTACGCGACTACCAAAAAGAGCCCTCAGAATTTACTAGCAGACGGTCTTTTATTTAAAACAAAGTGAAACGACGTGCACATTGGAGATCAGCAAAAAGGACAACTCCAGCGAACTATGTACACATACATGCACCTGCGTGCATGATGGAAAGTCAGGGAGCGGACGGCTCCCTTTTTGAGCAGATGCACGCGCACACCAAATACATGTGTTTGTGCACCTGTTAGAGATAACAGCACCCAGCCCCTCGGGTATGTCCCCTCGATGGTCGTTTACCCGCACAAATGTCTACATAAGTAAGGAGCTTGGGCTGGAGTGGGAATGAGTTGTGTGGGATACAATCAAACCTCATGAAACAGCCTGGTGGTTGGGAGTTGCCATCCCCTGGCTGAGGTAGGCCTTAAAGGCTTGTCGGCAAGCCTTGACCAGGCAATCACAGGAACAAAATTGTCCATCCCATCGCTCGGCGAGGGGAGGTAAGGGGTTATGGCATGTTTTTAGCCAGCAGGTGGCTAGTGGAGGCGGTTGTGGCAGTGGTGGAGGTTCGGGAGGCGCAACAACGGCCGCTGTGACATGCGGATGTGGTGCCGCGACCGGCTTGCAGAGGTCCGTGAGGGGTAAATTATCTTCCTCATCATCGTCGTTGGCGTCCTCTTCCATCGCCACCTCGATGGGGTCTCGCAAAGGTCGCTGTTGGACGTGCGCCTATAAAGGAAGATGCAGCTGGTGCAGGGCTTATATTCTTCGAGCATTATTACCAACAGAGGCGAGGGACTGTGGAATGACTATCTGTGGCTTGCTAACGATCATACCCGCAAAAGGGGGAGTCAGCCACGGCATCGATGACACTTACGCTTCTATTCATTCATACCTGTGTTTAAACCACTGCGTAACTGGTAGACGGTGAGTTCTCGTGACCAACTCACAACGTCATCGCTTCCTTCTGTACCTGTTTCATCCAACTCCAGCCTATGCAGTGTTGTGTGGGGGACAAATCGCCCACGCAGAACAGACTCTGCGCAACAAGGCCCCCAGAGAGGTCGGCACTCGCATTGTGATTCATTAATCTTGTGTGGACGTTAGCGCGCTGGCTCTATGATTAAGCAAGCTTGGGGGGACGAGGTCGCTCCTTATGACATGGGTTCAGGCATCCTCGTAGCTGTCTTCAAAAAGGGAGACAGGACGAAGTGCGAGAACTACCACGACAAAGGTCTCGTCGCCGAGGGGAGCAAAGAAATAAAAACAGCTTTTTGCAAGAACTATGGAAATGCTAGAAGCACACAGACAGAAAAACGATATTTTCTGGTATGTTGTGATAAAAACTGTCTTGTCACTGAACACTAATGACATCTTATGTTTTCGACAGACTACCATGATGGAGAACGTTTTAAATGACGGAACCAAGTGGCTAACTACTGACTAAGGTAAATCAACGAATTTCACATAACGTGTTGGTGTCAATTATGTCAATCGAAGGGGCACGGTAATGCTCGATACACATCTCCAATGATAGGCCTCATAATTGCCTAGGTGTTGTGAAGACTGACTAACCACCAGATAGGGGGGGTGGGTGCGTGCTTGAACCAATAGCACGATTAGTCGTAGAGAGCTGCTCGTCACTTTGTGCGTCAACGGTGCGGAATGACTTAAGGGCGCCGACGTGATGCTGGCGCGCATGGGTCGCACTTGTTTACAACCGAATTTTCAGTGCCAATTAGTCCAGTGGAGAGCCACTCTGCGATTTACGCATGTTAGACAAAGCAAAGTGTGGGGCAAACAATTCTTTGGACAAGTGGTCCGGCAGGTGGAGTAGAGTGACAGTAACGTAGTCACTGATACTGTCATTCATTTTTATGCGCACGTACTAGACGTTTCACGTGAAGAAACGCGTTTGTTTTGCTATCATTGTAACTTTCAGGAGATTGTAATTAAAGTACGACACCGGCTGTGTCATAACGCGTTTCCGCGAACTTCTAGGGGCTGAGAACCATCATTTGGGGGAAGTCGGTTGAGGGCTGGGGCAGATTGATACAGGACTGGCTCAGGTTTATTCTGCCTCCAATCAGTCACTCATAACCCTAACCAACAGCTGGAGTTCGAACACAAATATAGAATCGAATAGGTTAATTATAGCACCTCCTGGGCACTGTTGGTTTCCTTTGAGCACAGGAAAAAGCCTAAACCAAACTCATCAATTTCAGCTGCACTTTGACTTCATTAGTTCTGGATGTCTGCTTAGTCAACAGAGCGCAAACCAACCGTACGCTGAAGCGACTTTTAAATGCTTTTTTAGATGACCACCATCCACTCGACTGGACTAAACGAGTGTAGTGTGCCATGATGGCATACCGATATTTCGACCGTCGTTGCCGATGATGTCCACTGTTTGTTCCGCAGCAGGGTGAAGTAGGCGCGGAGGCTTGTGCGCAGCATCTGCCGCGCCCTCTCCTCCTCCCCTACCTGGACCCCGTATCAAGACAGAGTCAAGAAGACCGGATACGGGGAAGGGTGCGTGTTGGTGTGAAGTGGCCCTACTCCGAACGCCTGTCTAAACACTGGGCTTCTCGCGGTTTTCTGCACACGCACCCCATGGCTGTCTAGCATTCGCTCACACGGCTTTGTAACCGACCAATCGGATTCAAGGCCGAATCCTGGTTTAAGACGCTGTGACGCATTCCCTCACACATTTGGGATACCGCTCACCCGACGCCGGACATGCTCAATCCAGTTATTCTGCACAGAATATATTACCCCTCCCCACTGGCGTCCACCTTCTCTTCCTATTCAGGACCGGGCCTAAAGGTCGTGGTAGCCAGGGTCTTGCTCTCGGCCTAGCTTGCTGCGATATTGATGACCCCGACGTGATATCAACACTCAACCGCACAATCATTACAAAATGCGCTCTTTGATTTAGCTCTATTTTCCTGCGTCATCTGCTGTGACCACGATATGAAGAACCCAGTTACCGGCATCCTGTCATGGGCCCATCGAATTCAGGTCATGATTCCTATCCCACCCAACAAAGCTGTCTCTCAATCAGTGCCAGAATCCGGACGTCTTTCCCACTATCTACTATCTAACTTCGTCAACTACCAGCGGTATCCCCTTGCGCAGTCCCACAAATACCAACCCGGCATACGAATTTGCCGTCGACGTGCAACTCATCAACTCCACCATCGGCTTTTTGCAGCCGCCCACGCTGCCGATAACAATGCCGTTGGTACTTTTCGCATTCACTCAGCCTGATTAACTATCCTTACCTCGTTCGGCTTTTACACCCGAAATTCGGTCCAGGGAGGGAACAGGTGGCACGGTCGAGCCCACACCTTGGCGTTCTACGCCACACCGATTTGTCCACACAGTAAATGACCAGGATTTCAAAATACAACAAAAATGGGAACGGCAGAAGTTTCAATGTGCGTGAGAACTGCCGGCAATAGGGTCTGCCATCACACCGTAAAATGTTAGAATTTGTTATGGTGCGCATTCTGATAACACTTGCCAGGATCCGGTGTGACCCCTGTCTTGGTCCAGCACATCTACCACGTGGCCCGTTTTGGGGGGACCCTTCTTTATACTAGCAGAACGCCACTTCCGACTCCCAGCAGAATGGCGTTTTCCTTTACCCACATCAAGTGAATTCTCGCCAGATGGTTACGTATGACCAACCCACAACCTCGCACGCAACTATTTAAAATCAGCCGCCGAAAGACAGTTACCCACTGCCATCGCCGTCACAACACTCATCATTCCACCTCCCATTTCGCCATCCGTTTAACGGAAGAGATAGCAGGTTCAGCATATTTATTTGGCCTCGCGGATAGAGCATCGTCTGTGCGAGCCGTCAAACTTATAACTGTTTAGAATGGAGTCCTTTCGAACTGACATAAAAGATGCACGTGTCTGCATTTCAATGGACCGTGTGCCTTCCCTGTGTCCTTGCCGCCGATTATGACCAAGCCTTCAAACCTGAACCTGGATTTCCAGGGTACTGCCGCTCCAGATCTCCAACGTTACCGTACATTCTCATCCATATTTCTCTTTGACTCTCGAAACTTGGATATTTGTCGAGATTCCTCGCCTTCCTTTTCTCGTTTATCTGTCCCGTTATATACCGTTCTCGCTTGAGATGTCCTTTGCTTGACGTAGATAAATTAGCCTATCTGGTTATTTCTTGATCGTCCGATGGCAAAGAACACAAAAGCTGTCTCTTCAGGTAAGAAAGTACTAACATCCCTCTCCTTTCCGGTCCTGCCAAGATAGTGCTTTGACCCCACGGATTCGGAGCCAACTATCTCTATTGAGCAGACGAACAGTCCTCATAATACTATCGTGTATCTATTCGACAGCTTTTTTTTGCTAGGGTTTTTGAAAACTATAACTTTCCAACACCCAAAGAACAGTTTGAATGCAGTTACACTTTAAGCCCAGGGCCCAGGATAAATATGATGTAGCGACCGAGGACATTGACGTTTGTACACAGACGTATAGGTAAACACGTGCGGTCGTTTCTCAGTCCTTTGTAATACTGAACAGAATCTTAGGCCCTACACAGAAAGCATATCTGTAGCAGTTATGAAAACCAGTATCCGAAATTTATGAAAACCATAGTATAACAGTAACCATGTAAACATAATAAAGATGCAGTGTTAAAAAATGAGGAATGTTACATTCCAATATTCTCATCTGGAGTGAAGAGTGATCCGTCGTGTCTGTTATACCACAAGTAGGAAATGAAGCTTTGGAGGCAACTGCAGGGGAGGGACAATGGGTGCTGACCGCGTGTGAGGTAGAGAGAGCGAGATGAGATTCGAAAGCGTTAACAGCGGAGGCGCGGTCAGAAATAGAGAATCGAAGGGCACCGCACCCTCACAAACAAACCATCACACCGTCCCCATCCTGCATCTTCGCCTAAGTACCGTCCTCTACTTCAATTAGACAACGCATTCGGTCTCGTTTTGTGATCATGTGCCGACAAAAATAGCCGGTGCCGCTTCATAACTTAAATGTCGACTCCTGTCGGCAACGTCCGTCGCAACGTTCGTCCCGCCCACTATAATTCAGCATCTTCCCCTCCCAGTCGCTCACAGCCCGGCGTTCCTCATCTGTTGTCCAGCAGGCATGTCGGCTTCAGCTCTTAATAACCTCCTCTTCCTAAGTCGGGAATAATTCCCAGTGTTTCACCTTACCTAATGAGTGCTACCCTCAACGTCCTCTCCCGCCACAACTTGCATGAGGCCGAACTGTGTTTCTGACGTCGTTCGTCATAACTTGTTACGTTTTTGTGTTTGGTATTTTTTATTACTTTTCGCACCGTTTAATCCACCTACAGACAAATTGCAGTTTTTCTCAGCAAAGTACTATATTTTACGATCATTTTTTTAGACCCAAAAACCAGTGTCATTACGTCCGACCGCCAGGTCATGTAATATATTTCGGTGTCTTTCGCTCAGGTCTACGCCCACCTCCATCGTAACACCCCACGAACTGTGCAGCTTTGTTTGAGTGTGGGGATCTTTCCCGCGCGGATCTGAGATAGTGTTGGTTCTTCTGCATGTTAATGGAAATAGCCGGTGCCCTTCCCTCTGTACCGCCGACTCCCTCCCCGCAACTCGTCTTAACGCTC